TCGTGGCTCAAAGCTCATCAAAATTTCCTTCAGCCGCCCCTGTTGCAAATGTCCCTGTTGACTGCAACCACTCTCACATGAGATAGCTTTGAAGACTAGGCCATGGCGTGTTTTGAAGTGGCTGAGACATTCGTCGCTTAGAACAAAGTTCTTAACACCCATAGGCATAACAATCTCTCGAGCTTTCTGCTCGATCATTGGTCCGCTTACGGGCAAATTGGAACTCTGTGCACGCTTCAACCACAGAAAAAAAAACTTTTTATAGTTGTTCATAAGGCGTCGTCCGCATCCGCTAAGATGTAAAGGTCCCGTTCTTAACAATGCCTTCAATATTTTCTCTGTCTTTCCAGACCCGCAACAGCGTCGATTTCATGATGTGTTTTTTCACCACCTCCATCTCGGGCAGGCCGCTTCGACAAAGCTCCTGAAAAATTTGCAGCCTTTTTTCAAGCGAGAGTGCATGGTGCGGCCGCCTCCTTTCCATTGGGCTGAAATAACACTGTGATGCCACCGCACTTAGCTGCACAAATAGGCCTAACGCACAACCGACTCGCCACCTCAGGCTCCCACAGCCACTAGTGACAATGGCTACTGGATTAGTTTGTTTTGATCTCGAGGAGTTGCCATGGTCGCGGGACTACCTTTAGCATGAGCAAATCTATGCTTTGTTTAGAGTTTGTGCCGTTTAACTGTAGGTGACCAATAAGCACCGTTTCGATTAACCGATGAATTTTACTGTGCAACACATAGTAACCCAGCCATATGAACCCATTTAGTTCTGTTGTCCCGCCGCGGTGGTCTAGTGGCTAAGGTACTCGGCTGCTGACCCGCAGGGCGCGGGTTCGTATACCGGCTGCGGCGGCTGCATTTCGGATAGAGGCGGAAATGTTGTAGGCCCGTGTGCTCAGATTTGAGTGCACGTTAAAGAACCCCACGTGGTCTAAATTTCTGGAGCCCTCCACTACGGCGTCTCTCATAAGTATAGTGGTTTTGGGACGTTAAACCCCACACATCAATCATTCAATTTAGTTCTGTTAGTGAGGCATTTTAATTTAAGCAAGTTTCGTTTAACTGGGAGTCCACTGTACTAAAGAAGTGTTTTAGGTGAGCTCTGCCTGCATTTTCTCCATTTGTCCAACTTGTCCTATTTTTTTTACTTCCATACAAAATCTGCATATAACGAAATCCTCAATAACAATTTATTTCAGGAATTTCTACATTTCATTATATCCGGGTTGAGCTGTGGTTAAGTTCTGTAGCTCATTACTGCCAATTCGCAAGATTTTTCTTTTAGCTTGCAAAGACCGTTGGCACTGCAGTTTATGGTGTACACACGTAGCAATGTCCTGGCAACTGGTGCAAAAAGAAGGCCTTTATCATTCAGTAAATGGAGCTCCTGATGAGCTCTCAGTCAAACTTGCACCAGTGGTATATTATCACTTGATGTAAGCGATCACCTGCCTATCTTCACATTTTTGCCGCTTGATAGTGACAGGGGCGACTCAAGCGAAAAGCCTGTGTTATCGTAGAATGAACTCTGATCAGCTTAACGAATTTTATCATGCGCTGCAAACCACACAGTGGAACTTCGTTTACGCAGAAAAAGACCCTGATAAAGCATACAGTCTTTTCCATGAGGCACTTAAGGTTATCTATGACCGACACTTCCCACTTGTTCCATTCCGCAGGAAGAAAAAAATTCGCAAGCCTTGGGTTAGTTGATGTTTGTACACAAGAATAAAACATAAAAACAGAATGTATCATGCATTTGTACAGACACGTGACGCTGCTCTTCTTAGCGAATTTAAAAGACACCGTAATAAGTTAAACGCCGGTTTGAAAAAGGCTAAGACCTGCTACTATCAAACGCTTTTTGCTACTATACTTAATGAACCCAGAAAGCTGTGGAACGAAGTAAATAATTTATCAAACAACTCGAAAGTAAAACCTCGTATTAACATTGCAGCTTTTGCCCATTGCAAAGCGGAATTGGAAGCACTCACAGAAATGAATGAATACCTTACGAATGTGGGTGAATTTCAAACAAATCTCAGTTCTGAAAGTTGTCATGTTACTACACATAAACGCAAAAGGTTGCTACACTCAATTAGTTTATTCCCTACAAGTCCACAAGAGGTAGAAAAATTAGTAGGAAACATTAGAAACAATGTTTCGGCAGGAATTGATGAGCTAAGTGCCTTACCCATTAAATACGTTGCGGCTCTTACATCTTCACCATTAACACATACAGTGCAGTCCACTTATAACGATATCGAGAAAACCTAAAAATATGATCGTTATAACCGGTGATCGTTATATCTGGACTGCCGCCAAAAAATCGTCGCCGGACGTACCTTTTGTAGCTCCAGGCTTCATTTCGCTATTTTCACCAATTAATAAATATTGTAGATAGTAGGATGTCAAAAACAAGAAGACTTTATTTCTTACTCCGAAGAACGCATCACGGGTTCGCTGAGGAAGAGAGACTGACCGACGGCGGGGTGGGAGCAGTGGGAGGAAGACAAGCACAGCCAGAGGTACACAGCCGGAATGCCAACGAGGCCCCGCCCCGATGCCGCCGCGCCGCTTTGCTTTTCGCTTTTTTTTTATTTTCTATCTCTTTCCCGCTTTCGTTCGGCAAGCTACGAGTAGCTTGCCGGCTTGCCGTTGTAGAAGGCGGGGAGCCGCGGAGCGCGGCGCTTTGCTTTTCGCTTTTTTTTTTTTAATTCTCTCAGCCTCTCCGCGGTCGACGCGCGGCGAGGCGCAAAACGTGACACAGCTGGCGCCATCTGTAGCGCGTCGCGCCAACTCGCGATGCTCTCCTCGGCTTTTTGAACGGCCGGGACGCGCTGCCGGCGCTGTGCTGCAGTGGCGGCAGATACGTACTCGCCTACGCTAACTTTTCGTCTTGTCTCGGCATAGTTGGTTTCAGAGGAACTTATCAATCTAAATGTTACGATTATTCTGAATGAAACATGCCGTCCACGGCAAACTTTTCATCGTTGTATCCGATATGCGGTGGATAACATATCGTTATATATGGTTTTTTTCCCCATAGCCCCAATGCATAAAATGAGACTGTTAAGTCGACCCATCGTTATAACCGATATATCGTTATATGTGGTATCGTTATAAGTGGACTGCACTGTATTATGAACAGAATGCTTGAAACTGGAATCTTCCCCTCAGATCTGAAGCTTGCTCGCATATGCCTGATACATAAGGGAGGTGCTGTTGGTGATATAAGTAATTACAGACCCATTTCGGTGCTACCTGTGTTATCTAAAGTACTTGAAAATGTCATCAACATGCGTCTTGTTAATTTCATAAATAAGCACCAAATCATAAACAATGCACAATACAGTTTCCAGAAAAAGAAAAGCACTGAGCTAGCTTTGTTACATGTAAAGGATAAAATACTACATGACATTGAAAACAAACTCAACAGTGTAGGTCTTTTCATTGATCTAAGGAAAGCGTTCGGTTGCGTTAATCACGACATTCTGCTACTGAAACTTAATGACTATGGCATTCGCGGCATCGCCCTAGATCTTTTAAAGAATTATCTTTCTTGCAGAAAGCAGTGTGTGAAAATTGGAGATGTTACCTCCCCTACAACCACGATAAAACAAGGAGTGCCCCAGGGGTCGATTCTGGGACCCTTGTTATTTATATTGTACGTTAATGACTTACTTAATATTCCTAACTCTCCCAAGTTAGTAATGTACGCTGACAACTCCGTCTTTTTTTCAGCGCACACATTCACTCAGCTTCAGAAAGTGATAAACGAATATCTTGTTTAGTTGGATGGTTGGCTTCACGCTAATAAACTATCCCTAAATAAAAAGAAATCTAATTACATCCTCTTTAAGCCCGTCAATAAGCACTGTGACACAGAGCTTACGCTAACGTATCAGGGCACCGTCTTAGAGCGCGTAAAATGTCAGAAATTTTTAGGCGTATGGTTTGAAGAAAGCATGTCGTGGAATACACACATCAATAAACTCACTTCAGAGCTAAGCAGAGCTGTTGGTATAATATTTAAACTATCCCATTTAATTCCTTTACATCTAAAAAAGGCGATATATTACGCGCATTTCTACTCCCGCTTATCTTACTGCACACTTGTTTGGGGTAGCACAACTACTAATTACTACAAACTGGAAACAATGCAAAGAAAGTGCTCAGACTTTTCGAGAACTATTTTGGTGAGCCAAAAGACTTACCCACAAATCCTTTATTTGTTAAGTATAATTTGCTTAAAGCAACGAAATTATACGATTATAAACTCCTGCTGCACATACTGAAACATGATCTGATAGACATGGCACATGCAACATCAAGACGTTATCCACTACGTAATACACAGACACCAATACCAAGAACACGTACGAACTACGGAAGGTCAGCCCTCACTTATCAGATACCAGCAGTAATAAATCATGTATCTTCACAAATAAATTTTGATATCCCATTACATAGATTTAAAAAACAAATAAGACTTTTCCTATTAAATGACTGTGCAGCCGTTACAGCATAACCTTATTATCTGTCACTGCACCACTGTTCCTGCATTGCATTTTTTATACGTTCAAACGTTTGCATTTTCGAATACAACAGTTATCCTAGTTATATGGGTGCATTTTAATTTCTGATGCATTTCCCTGTTACATTCATTTCGCTGTATCTGTGCATTTTTGTTGTACCTCCTTATATTTACTTTGCTATGTACCGATGCTATTATATCTTGTCAAGTTGTATAAGTTGTATCATGTAGTGTTAGTTATACTTTTTATTCGCTGCTGCCTGTACGATCCCCCAGGTCCCTTCAAGCTGTTTTTCAACAGCTTTTTTGCCTGGGGAACCCCCAACTTTTCGTGTTGGAAATAAACCCAAACCCAAACAAGATGCAGACAACTGACAACAAAAGAAGCATTATATGTGCCAACTTTTCTTGTTCCCTTTAGAAACGACACTATTAAAAAGCAATGGCAACCCACCTCGCTTGCGCATCATGGCTCGCTTAAACTTTTCTTTGCTCTGCCTCTTTGGTCGCTCGGCCACAACCACATCCGGTGGAGTGGCCGATTGTGCTGCCGCGACTGGTGGAGGAGGCTGTTCTGACCGAGTCTTCTTTGGCAGCTTGTGTGGCTCAGGCTTCTTTGCTGACCCCGGTGGCTTACCCTGGGGCATCTTGGAGCTCACCTTGGCAAGCTTGGGTGTTTTTGGTAGAGGTGCTGTGTGCTGTGCAGCATGTTTTACTTTAGCGGGGCTCGACGGTGGAGGTGCCGACTTGACAGCTACGGGCAGCACCGACTTCTTGTGATCTGGCTGGCCTGGGTGGGCCGACTTTGCAGCCACTGGCTTTGAAAACATTGGCTTCTTTAACAATGATTTGTTTTCCACAGGTCCTGAAAAAAAAAAAAAGAAGAAGAAGACAGCACAATCAACACGTGCAGAGAAATTAAACAAATTGGCAATAGAGAGAAAATTGTGCATATCCAGGGGTGGAACACGTTGCATGGGCTCGGGAGCAGTGTTGGTAGCAGGCAAAAGTGCTTTTTGTAGCAGGATCGGAGCACCAACATAGACATTTTGAAGCAGGTTGAGCGCACGTTTGACTGTTCTTAGTGCCAACTTCACTCAGGATTGTGCTGAGGTAGGGCGAGTAGCGTTCGTTCAACATGACCAAGACATGCATTCAGCAAGCAACATGCAAGCAGCCTCTCACGATGCAGCGGCGGCGCCGGCGAACCTGCGAACGTCAGCATGACTCATTTGTACCACCGTAGCTCCATGCGGTTAGGACACACGCAGCCAAGCAGATATCTGCAGATATGTGTGATAACTGCTGTCAGTGAAGAGTTAAGAGGTGACTAGATTCTTAAAATAGCAAAAAATTGTAAAAAAAACGCTGAATGTCAGAAATTGCAATTCGAGGTATTTGTACAGTTTTGTACAGGTTTGTCTGTGCAGTATTGTACAGGTTTGTGCCGAATACATTTTCATTTTGTTTCGATGGTTCATCCGATAATCCGGAATCCGGTTAACTCGGACATTTTCACCGGTCGCGCGAGTCCAGGTTAACGTAGTTTTACTGTAGTTGTCATTCTCTATTGCACCTATTGAAGGTGATGATCCGACACAGGCAAGCTCTCGGGGCATCTTTTCATATCGAATTTTTCATATATCGAAATATTTCGCGATCCCTTTCGAGTTCGATATATCCGTGTTCGACTGTAGTCAGATATATGTTTTGGAAAAATTTTATATTATGGCAAAATACCATTTCTTTTTGTTAATAGCTTAATATATGCAACTACAAATGTTTTTAAAAATGGAAACATGATTTTCTTAGCATTGTTACTTTTGTGAAGTGAATCTGCTTTACAGAAGTTTTGTGCAAGTTTCTGTGAAGATATTATCTACACAAACTTGGGACTATTCTTGCACCTGAACTACAGGCTAAAGATTTTCTTTTTCTCTCAAACATTATAGAATTATAACTATATGATAAATACAAGCTAATTAATGGAAGCACAATTTTACCTTCCAAGTTTAAAAATTATTTCTCATCTAAGAAATAGCTGTTCCGACATCTGGTTTGCTTTAGCCTGTGGTATGAACCTTTTAAGGGAAACTAGTAGTTTTGAAGGCTAACTTTCTTATTGCAAGTTACCATAACAACCCGTAAGAAATCACCTAAATATAATGTTGAAATTTGTCAGTATTTTTTGTTTTCAATATTTGAAATCTGTTTGCAGATTTGAAATCTCCATTGGATGGTGCACATGCATGGTACTTTTCACGACAGTAGGATAATTAAACGTTTTTGTTGTTTTTTTTTTTTTTTATTTTTTTTATTGGCGCTAGTATGCCCTACGGCATCAGTTAAATAAAAAGGAAAAGTTTTGTTTCCTGTATGAAGGCCAGGAGTTGTCGATGCAGTGGACCGTGCGTCCAGCGCGTCAAGTCAGGTGGTCGGCCGGGGTGGTGGTGAAGGCCGCGTAGGTGGCGAGTGCGAGCCTGGTGAAGGCCCGGGCAGGTTCCCAATAGGTGATCAAGCGTTGCCTCTGTGGCTGGGGCAACGCAGAATGGGCACGTCGTTGGGGGAGGCTGTGCACCAGATGTCCATGTAGCCCGGATTGCAGGAGTCAAGGCGGCGCCCACACGAATCCTCCTGAGCGCAACCTCCTCTCGGCGAGTTAAGCCGCCGGGAAGGTCAGATCCACGCGGAGGAATGAGAGCACGCGTGGAGCGCCGGAGGGTTTCTTTGTGCACAAGCAAGCTGTCCTTCGGGGACAAACGAAGTAGAGGCAGCGGGTGTTGAACAGTCGCTGGATGGCAAGCGGCATCTGCTTCCACTTGAGCCGGTGCAGACCGGCGGGTCCACAGAACGCGGACAGGACAGGCACATGAGTGGATCAGTCGGTGTATATCGGAGGCTATATCGATGGAGCTGGTCACTTTTCGCAGCTCTCGAACTGCCTGCGTGGAGTCCGTATATACAAGCAATTTATCGTGTGACAAAGAATCCATTTTGGATATCATAACTGTTAACCCGTCCCGTATAGCAGTGAGCTCCGCTAATACGGATGGGAACGGTGCCTCTGTTACGTAAGAGCAGATATGTTGGATTTCAGGTTGCGCGGGGCATACGAGACTGGTGTGCAGAACGCAATTATCGGTAGCTGCGTCTACGTATACCGCTAGTGAGTTCTCGGTGGTAGTGACGATGCCCTCCTGCGCCGCTTGTCGGGTGGATTGTCGCAGGCGGGTCAGTGGTCGGTTGTCACTGGCCTGTGCCTTGAGCCATGGTGGAACTTCTGCCACGGGTGCGTCAGGCTGTGGCAGCGTTGAACCATAGTAGTGAGCTAGAGCTGCCGCCGCAGGAACAGCTTGACTCTTTAGGTAGCGAGCGACTCGACGCTGGTGTACAATTTCGTCGATGGTGTTGAGCTGCGCTTCCGCCTGGAGGGTCGTGATAGGTGTCATACGGGGAAGGCATGTAATCGCCCTCATGGAATCTCGGTTGGCGGTTTCGAGCAAGTCCCAGTCTCTCAAAGTCAGTCGTTGAAACTGAGCTTGATAAACGAGCCGAGGTTGTAGGATTGATCGCACCAAGATACGGGCCATTCGAGAACAGGCACCCCCCGTCTTTTGAGAGATGCGACGAATGAGATGGAGGGTATTAGCACTCTTCCGGCGAGCAGAGCGAACCCACGCATTCGCAGAGCCAGATGCGTCCAATTCGACCCCGAGCACACGTATAGTGGATACAGGGGTGAGGGTATGGCCATTTAGGCTCAAACATATCGGCGTCTGCAGGAGGCGACGGCGACCTCGTCTGTTGGTGATAGACATGAATGCAGTCTTCGTGGCAGATAGTGTCAGTCCTATGCGCGCACACCAGTCCGACGCCTTGTCGAGAGCACTCTGGAGTGCCTCCTGCTGGCGTTGAAGGTCTGGATGTAGTGTCCACACAGTCAAATCATCGGCATACAGGAGGAAGAAGGCATCTGGAATGCGTGCTAGTTGCCACGCGAGGGGCAACAGGGCAATATTGAAGAGTATCGGGGCTAGAACCGAGCCCTGCGGTACACCCCGCTTCATTACAAAGTGTCCGGTTCGTTCCTTGCCTACTCTGATGCAGAAGGTACGGTGTGCCAGAAAAGACTCCACAAAGTCGCAGACGCGAGGCGGAAGTTGAAGCCATTGCATTATGTGATTGATCGCAGAGTGGCTGACGTTGTCGTAGGCCTTATGAACGTCCATGGCGAGAAGGGTTCGAATGCTGCTTGATCTTCTTCCCACAAGCACCATGGACGTCAAATGATCTAGGCCATCTTCCGTGCCCAGGTGCGGTCGAAAGCCAATCTGGGCCGGATGGTACCAGGCGTGCTTTTCCAGCCACCAGGAGATGCGCGACGCCAACATGCGTTCAAGAAGCTTGCACAACGTACACGTTAGAGCAATCGGCCGAAGATTAGAGAGGCTGTTCGGGTGCTTTCCCGGCTTAGGTATCGGCACAACTTCGGCATGCTTCCACGATTCAGGCAGCCCTCCGGTCGTCCAGACTGCGTTAAGCGTGTCCAGCAGCCACTGCAGTGCAGGGCCATCCATGTTCTTGAACACTTCATAGGAGATCCCATCTGGTCCTGGTGCCTTGCGTACTTTTGCCTGGTCAATTGCTGCCTGGAGCTCCGCCATCGTGTATGGCGCTTGCATGCCTTCGATGTCCGACGGACTGGGAGTCACGCCAACCTCCGGAGGCAGGTTACACGGACAGTCGAATTGTGGTGGGGCCAGGTTGTAGGCCGGGAAGAAAGCCTTAACTATTTCTGGAGCGAACTGGCTTGGCGTGCATCCAGAAGACAGACACGCACTGGCCGCTGGGTCCGGCGTACGGGCGCCTAGTTCCATACTCCGGAACGTTCGCCATATTGAGGCGGTTGAAGACGATGGACCGAGTGACGCACACCAGTCCATCCACCGTTCGCGGGCGAGACGCTTCTCGCAGCGACGCGCCGCAGCGGTGAGTCTGTTGAGGTTATCACGAAGCTCAGCGGCTGCCGGATCTCGGTTTAAGGCCAGCTCTGCACGACGGCGTGCTGCCCACAGACGCAGAAGATGTAAATTTGGATGTGGTCGGTTCTCCTCTACCCAGCTTGACTGCGTGGCGGCTTGTACAGCTCTGGTTAACACCTGCAATGGATCAGACGATGTATCAGCAATCGAGTCGTTCAGTTCATTGCGGAATAAGTCCCAGTTGGTTGTGTAGCATCGACGTCGGAGGCGGCGCTGGTTATACGCGGCCAAACCAATTTTCAACGGATGGTGATCACTCCCCCAGCAGTCTGGTTCTAGGTCCCACGAAACGTCACACATGCCCAACCACCACGAGAGATCGGGCGCATAAGGTGGAGCACAGGGATGATCCCACCGACGTGTAGAAGTAGCCGGGGCATTCAGAAGGACAAAGTGCGCGTCTGTAAATGTGTCTAGCACGATGTTGCCTCTAGCACTGGAAGAAGGGTAGCCCCACGACTGATGAGGTGCATTGAAGTCTCCCCCAACTAGTACTGGGCACCCAGGATAGGTTTGACGCAGGTGAGCCAGCCACCCCAAACGCAGTCGGGGAGCGCTGCCACTATACGGGCGCACGTAAACTGAAACCACAATCACGTCAGTACGCGGAAGTCTAACGAGCACTGCCACCACTTCTTGCCACTGGTTACACCACTGCAGCAGGGGAACCTGCGTTTGAGGATATGTAGTCACAACATACACTGCAGCCTTGCCTGGAGGTCCCAACGCATTGGTGCAGCGTCGATCAGGGATGGTTGGGGAATCATACGCAGTGAATCCAGGGATGCGTGGAAGCGAATTCGTTTCTTGTAGAAGCAGGCAC